AATCGTTAATAAATTTCCTTGAAATAGCGTCAAGTTATTCAGAATGGTTTTTTAATCATGAATTTTAATAACGTATCGAATAAACGGTAATTTAAAAAATTAGTAAGTATTATATGATATTTAAATAGAGAGATTATTATACTAATCGAGTAATATTTTATTTACATATCAATCAAAAAATACTTATTTATACTTCATATACATATCAACTCTCCCGTCTGAAATAAATTGATTAAATCGTATGAATTTAAGGAATATATAAGGAATATATTGACATATGTGAATTATTTGCAGGGAATAATTCATTCAGCGATATCCCTTTCAAACCCTTCATGCATTCATATATAAATTATTGTCCCGAGTCCTTTAGTTGCGGCAACATATCATTTTTGTACCTTTTAATGAACAGCATCTCTAAATCTTAGAGATTCTAAAAGTGTCATAGCTTCAAATATGTTTACGCGACCTGCTGCGATAAACGAGCGGAAACAATAAGAGAGAGAAAGAGAGAAACGTGGAAGAGAGAAAGAGAAAGAAGAGAGAGAGAGAGAGGAACCCTCCTAAAGCTCATCTCCTTACTAAAGAACGTTCGGAAGGCAGGAGCTAAACGCGGGACCATTTTATCCGTGGAGGGGAATCCATGCCACCCAGGCAGCTTCTCGTCTCCTCCTCCTTTCCTCACCCGGTGTTTCCCCTTTCCCGTTTCTGGCCCCAACCAGATCATTCGTATCTTCCTTCAACGAATTATCCACCAACCGGGACTGCCGTGCATTCAAGCGTGATGGCGGAACTATTCGAGGTTTAATCTACCAACGTTGTCGCCAATGCATTCGATATTTCTTTCGCACGAGATTGTTAATAAAGTTTTCACAATTGATACGCCTGTGTACTTGTTTGTGCAGCTTGCTATGAGCAAAAATATATACAAAGTAACTTTGATAATAAATGAATCAGGGTCATAGTGTGTTGTAAAAAAGTGACATTTTCACGAATTAAAAGATGCAGTTAATTTCGTATTCATTATTTATTACAATTAAATATTTCTACTTATACAATTAGAATATAAAATAAGTAGTATCTAAAAATATATTTGAAAATATTATAATTATTTTTTAAGCAAAATCTAAGAGTTTAAATAAATTATTTATTTCGTCTGAAAGAAAAAAAAATGAGAAAGAGATCTATTTTATATTTTTTGCTTTATCTTATTACTTTTCTCGAATCAAAGGATAGCAGATGTTTTACATTGTTTGAAGTATTGTTTGAAATAAGTTTTATAAACCAGGACTGATTTGCAATCGCTAGAATGCACCGCGTCGTCGCGAGCAGTGTTCGAGGAGTCGCGTGTGCACGACTCGCAGAGTCGAGTGGCGATCGACAAGATTGGACAAGAGAAGGGACGTTTATTAACGTCGATAATGGGTGGTGTGCACTTAGTTAAACGCTTTAAAAACTACGCGGGTATTGTTATATGAACGTACGCCGCGACAATGCGATCTCGTGGCATTGTAGCGGGCGTATCGGTAGTTTACTTTCAATCGTCGCTTGCCGAGGGGGAAAGGATCGTCAAATGCAGCCAGTAAGAATAACAAGAGTGAAAAAACAAAGAATACGAGAGAGAGAGGGGGGGGGGAACAATTTCGGAACAAACCGAGAGGAAGAAGGACGTCGAGAGAGAAAGTGATTCTCTCTTTTTTCTCTCTCCTTCTCTCGAAAGTTTCTGTTACCCACGTGTTCTTCACGAGAGTCACTCGAACGAAAGAAGTAAAAAATAAAAAAGAGAAAGAAAAACACTCTGCAAGAGAAGACTCTTGACTTAGAAACTACTAC